TCGAAAATCATATGGAACCTGCAGTATTGGTCAGTGTTCCGCTTGGCGGTTACCACGTCACACTCCTCGGGGAAGGCTACCAGGCCTTGCTCCTCCGCGTAGTCCAGAATCGCCCCGACTGGTTGAGCCAAAGGTGTCAGGTGTTTGGTTGGTAAGAGTGGACCACTCGGGACATCCATCTTTCCCTTGCTCTTGCTCTTCTTGCCTTTGAATTTTCCGCCCTTACCGCCAGGCCTCGTATCAATGTTCTCGTCTTCCAGGTTATCACGCTTTTCCTTGTCTCCTTTCCTTCCTTCTTCTTCATCTTTCTTCCTTTGCTCGGCGTCTTCCCCCTCAGCTTGGCGGTCTGCGCGCCTTAGAGCTTCCTCGTACAAAGTTGGTGCATTCCTGACAAAGTCCTTGTAGAGCTCCCTTGATCGGATGGAATTCGTCAACATAGCCACCCCGGTCCTGTCATCAAGGCCCTAGACCTTGACTGACTCCGCTCTCCACCTTGCCAAGAATACAGACAATGCCTCCTTCTTTCCCTGCTTTAGACTGAACAGGTGACTGAAATTCTTCTTCACGTCCCGGGAACCCGCGAACCTTAGGAGGAAATGCCTAGCCAGCTCCCTGAAACTTCCAATGCTTCCGTCGGGCAGCATGTCATACCATTCTCGAGCCAGGCCGTCTAGCGTAGCTGCGAATCCCCTGCATCGTATGGCGTCTTCATATCCCATCATGACCATATACGACAGATATCGTGATATATGGTGTTGTGGGTCCGAAGTGCCCTTGTACGTCTCGACATTGCAAGGTTTGTATCCCCTTGGCAACGGCGTTTCCATCACTGCACGAGTGAATGGTTCCGGGATGTGGAGGTCGGCCACGTATGGCTCTCCCCCGACGACCCTTCTCCTCAGCTCATCCAGTCTTAGCCTTAGATCTTCCACCACGTCGAGTGTTGGTTCTGCTTGCGCGTGTCCAGCGTGGAGCTGAACTTGCGCGAAAGACTCCGCAATCCTCTCGCCTGTGTGATGACTGGATTCAACATGTGTTGGTCCCGGTTGTACTGGATACAGTCTAGAGGGGGTTGAATAGACTGTATTGGTTTTTAACTTTTTCAAGCTAAGTGCCAGATTTTACTGAATAGACAGCGGATGGGGTTCTGGTAGGGAGTTCTGTTAGTATAGCCTCAGAGAAGCAAAGGCAGTAGGCCTTCTGTTAACTCACAAGACAAGTTCTGTTGAACACAGATACCAAGTCTTTGGAGTTAAGCAGTTCAAATAAAAGAATGAATGTAATGCAGTAAGTAAATGACACCGGGGCTTTTTATAGTGGTTCAAGGAACAACTTGTTCCTCTAGTCCACTGTTCCACTAAGCTTGTAAAAACGACCGTTTACAACGCCTTAGCCCTATCACTTAAGAAGCTCTCCACGTCTTCTCCAAGTGTAGATGTCTTCTTGGATGCACTTTCGGCTTCCCTAAGACTGGTCCTTTCACTGAGCTTTCCCGGAAGTATCACCACTTCACTGCTCCAGGTACTTGGAAGTCCTTCTTGTGAAAGAAGAGGTTCTGTTGAGAACAAGGGTTCCTTCAACTTGCTTTGTTACAAAAGATTTGTATGTGAAGAGCTTGAAGAGTTGAAGAATACTTGGAACTTTGCTTGAGTTGGAAATAAGGATTTTTCCAACTTCTGCCTTCTCTTGTAGAAGATGATGAAGTTTTAATCTCAAGGAGGCTTTTTGCGTTTTTAGTGTTTGAATATCTTGTATGTGCATAGTTGTAGCAAAAGTTATTGCAAAGTTCTTTTCCAAAGTTATCCGGTTGTTCTTCGGAGTGTATCTTTTTATACTGAGGTTGTCTTCCCGTTGGAGGAGAAGAAGGACAACTGTATTAAATGAGCGGGCAGTTGACCTGACCAGTAGGACCCGGTAAAGTTGGCGGGTTACTATTTTGGGACAAAGTTATCCTGACATTGCGGCCAATCATCTGCAATTACTCTGCAGAGTACATGAGGCATTAAATGTGTATTTAATGCGTGTACTGTAGCTTTTCCGTTCAAGACTCCTAGCCGTTGAAGGAATCTTTCAGTTGGTTTCCCGGCTTGGTGAAATTCTTCTAAGTGTGAGGCCTTCTGGTGTCTTTAGCAAAGGGTTGATCAGAGAAGGTCTTGAGCACTTCTGTTGAAGAAATATCCAACAGAGAACCAGGAGGGTTTCTGTCAGAGTAAAGGCTATCAGAGACCCTGAGGTCTTCTGTTCTGAAGCAGAGAACCAAAGGTCTTCTGTCAGGAGGTCTTCTGCTCTGGAGGCCTTCTGGCAGTCGATTTCACTAAGAACTTTTACAAAGGAAAAATTCTAATACATTAAATCTAAAGAGGGGTACTCTAAAGTCCTAATTAATATAGCATCATCAAAATCTAATTACAAATATTCCTTACAGCATGGCGTCCGCCCAGGGAGTCAACCCGCCTACCTGGTTGACGGGAGTGATAATACGAATCATCCCCCCCTTCCCGGAACGAGCGTTGCCGGGAAGGCCTCCTTCCGGGCTGTCGTGGCTGCTCAACTCGCTGGGACGCCTCCCTCAGGGATCCATCTATGCTGGTGCGTCCCCCTTGATACTGCCCGGAGGATGCTTCCCAGTCTCTAGGGGTGGTATGACTCGAACGCTCATGCTCTGTCTCCTGCGGCATCACTCTTTGGAATCCCTGAGCCAAATCCTCAATCGCACGAGTGGCTTTCTGGAGTGCCTGCACCCCCGCATCCAGCGGTGTCAGGTTCCGCTGCGGAGCAGCACGACGCCCACCTCCGAGGCAATCATGGACGGATCGCCTCTCACGACTCTAGTTCAATGAACCTCTCAAGTCTTCAGGGCTCGACAAGTTGTTCCTCAGGTCCCCCGTCGGCCTCACCACTTTGCTCCTCACGCGACGACCATTGGGCTGCTCCGAGCTCTCGGTGTGGACAGAAACTCGCTCTTGTCTTGATGTCCTTGACATCTTCTTCAAAGTTTCCACCGAAAGAATGAGAGAGAGCTCTCAATGAAAGAATCAATGTTGATAGAAAATAGCTTGAGAGAGAAAATAGCAGCACTTCGATACGGTAAAAGTAACGTAGCCAATACATGGGGGTTGATGGCCTATTTATAGGCATCCATCATAAGCCCAAAATCTAATCTAGGTGGGTTTGACCCAAATTAATAATGGATCTTCCGACTAATGGGCGAACCGGTCCGACAAATAAGTAAATGAGCAAAGGACGATTCCCGCTCATGACACCGCGTCCTGGGCCTTCTTGGACCTAAGCTCAGGGATATCAGGCCGATGACACTGGGCCTGGCCCATTATCCCAACAAATATAGTTACAAAATAGAATAGGGAAATACTTTTTGAAGGTTAGAAGTATAAAATACGGGACAGATGTAGGAAGAAAAAAATATGGCCACAAAATAGCACTCCTAAATCATTCTAATTTGGACATGGAGTATGTAAAAGACAACCAAATTTTGGAGATCGGCTGGTGTCAATGTTATTACCCCTTACGATTTAAAAATGCATCACATCCTTGTGATACTATTATTCATGGCAAAACCCCTCTATGAACAAATTTAATTGACAAATAAAGAAAAATAATTATTATTTGTGAATAATTTAGAAATCTTGATAAGGTTGTGAGCATATTCAATCATATTATTAAGACATGAAATTTTAAAATTGTAAAATTTATTCTTAAAGAGGTTTTTGCACATTAGTAATTGTTACGCAAGGGTTTAACGTTTTTCTTTAAATCTTAAATGACTACAATACTCGAATTTACTCTCTCCGTCCTGTTAAGATTGTCCCATCTTTTTCTGATCCGTCCCACTAAAATTGTCTCATACCAAATTTAGTAAAATTTGTATGGTTCTAAATTAATTTTACTTTATTCTTACTTTATCAATTCAGTATCAATCACATAAACTCAATTTTCCTAATAACTGTGTCACATTCTCGTGTTCGAATATAATTAGTGGGACAGCTCATAGTTAGTATATACCCTTTCCGTCCCAAAAAATACTTCCCACTTTGACTTGTCATGCTTATTAAGAAAGTAAGAGTAATTGGAAATGTGTGAATGTGATTAAGTAAGAAAAATATAAACAAATGTTAGCCACACAAAATTTAAAAAAAAAATATGTGGAATTTTTTTTTTTGGAAATTCCAAAAATGATTAGTTGGGAGAATTTTATGGAAGGAGGCTAATAAGAAAGTTTTGTGCATTAAACTCCTGTTATGCTCCCGGAAGACAATGTGTAAGCAAGTCGGTTGCCAACTGCCACGTTGCAAATTGAGTTGCTGCTTCGTGTTCCAGCAATCTTATCTAATTGTCAGCATTGCCTAATGCGGAGGACTCCGTAGTCCGTATTCTTTTCTTCTGCATTAAGTTCCTTTGACTTGAGAGATTTTAAGATAAGATAAGTTTATGTATTCTTTTTAAAAATAAATACTCCGTATTTAATTGTATAAAATGAAGCTCCCGTGTCTAAAAGGTTTCGTGTTGTTCAAATATAAAAGATCCATAAGACCATAAATTAGGAGGAGTATGAGTTGCGATGAGTCGATATAAAGAATTTTACAGATAGATATTTACACATTAATTTTTACATTAAAAATATAAGTAATTTTAAAAATTGGGCTGGGCCGGGGCCCGATTTGCCACCCCGCCACCTCCGCCCCGGTTATGGCATAGTAGGTGTAATGAATAGTATAGAAAAAGTAGGAGAGAAGGTGAAAAAGTAGAAAACGAGAGGATAATAAGTAGAAAAAGTAAGAGTAAAATTGAGTATTATTAAAGGATAAACTTACCAAAAAAGAAAGTGTAGGGAACTTTTAAATACAACCCAAAAAAAAATGTAGGAAACTTTTAAATACGGAGAGAGTATGAATTTTAAAACTGTAAAAAAGAAAAACGAGTTCTTGCTTTAAACTAGAGGTTTGGAGAAGCTTGAAATTAGATTGGAAGGTTAAGTTTTCTTTTTTTGAAAGAAGAACACTTATTTATTAATAATAATGGAAGTGACAAGAGACAAAACAAACCAATAGCTCATAGTTGTCATGGGGTGAGACATAGAACTAACAATCCCATGAGGACTCGATAAGTTCGCAGACCCTGCATCCTTGTAGACTAATCTAACAGCATCGATGTACTTGCTACTAAAATAAATCGACAAAAAACTAGAGTTATTAAACGGGAAAAAAACAAATAAAATCGCATCTCCTGGTTTATCCGCTACCAACAAGGGAGAAGATATTTGATCAATCACCTTCAAATACGTCATTCCAATTTTACCATCCACCAAGAAGGGAGAAGAGATTTGTCCAGTCACCTTCAAATGAAGCATCCCGATTTTACCAGCCACCGGGAAGGAAGAAGAGGTTTGACCAACTATCTCCAAAGGAATCATCTCATCTATCATTATTTTAGGCGGTGCTATTCCAGGAGCGCCGTCACCTTGCTGTTTTTTGACTCTTCTAAGGCACCTGACTCAAGCACCGGAGCATTGGTCTCTTCATCCTCAATTGACATCCTTCATAAGCTAGATTTTGAGCTCTCCATTAATGGCTACAAAATTACCACCGGATACGAAATAGAGAAAAAGAATTAGCCAAACACACACACGATCACAAACCCAAACACGTTCACAATCGTAACATACCAAACATTCGACTAGAGAAAACTCACCCGGACAGAAAAACAACACAGGAAAAAACTAACAATAATGAATCACACCTAAATTGCATACGTGATACGTAGCCCACAAAGCCGTTCCAATTTTCTGTGTCGCTGAGGCTAAGTTTTCTTGAAAAATAAATCAACATATTCATTGCGTATTTGAGTTAGCCACCATTCAAACAAAATTTTATGAAATTAAGTTAATCTATTTATCATCTAGACAAATGAATGATTTTTGTGTATGTGTGTGTGAACGAAGCGCACCAAATCTAAGCTAAATTAAACTCATTATGTGAGAGCATCTCCTACGGTTGTTTCTAGGGAGCTGCTTGCAATTTTGAAGCTAGAAGCTTACCATTGGAGTGCATCTTTCCTTCTAACTTGGACAAGTTTGCCAAAATAAGCTACTTGCTAGAAAGGAGAGAAATTTGAATTAAAATGGGAATTATCAAATTTGAATTGATATTGTTTAATTTGGTATATTTATTTCATTTAATGTTTTTGCTTTGTTGATTTTAAAAAATGTTTAACCTTATATTTAAGTTGATATTTTTCAGTATGTGTTGTTAAAATTTCTTATTCCTTTTTTTTTACTTAACAAAATACGTATTGTTGTACTAACTTTAAAAATATGTATTTTCAAATTATGATCGTTATAATAATAATAGCACTGATAATTTATGGGTTTAAAATTATCATTTACATTTTTCAATTTGAAAATATTTCAAAATAAGTATTTTTTATTATGAGGTAGGCATTGTGGCTAACCATTGAACTATCACATTGCTGGAAAATGAAGTAGCTAGATAAAGGTGATGTGTCAAACAAAACTACAATATGTTTAGCTAGCCATTGTAGATGTTGTAATTACGCTGAGTACGCTTGATTTATTAACCAAATGGTTCTTAATAGGTGTAACATGTTGAAATTTACATTATTCACATGCTCTATTTTGAGTACGCTTTATATATTAATGTATTAATAATTTTTTTAAAAAAATTGTTAAATTTATCTCATCATAAATTTTCAATATCTTTTTTTTTTAATTTTTACTAATAGAGAAATGGTCAAAGTTGTGTATCGACAAACATGAAAAATTAACTATTGCACTTAAGAACATATACTTTTAGAATTATTTTTTATTATTTTAATCCTTTTTTAAACTCCGGCATAAAATAAATAATAGAATTTACTCTAAATAGGACTAAAACAATGTCAAAATCCCAAAATAAGACTTGTTATGTTTTTATTCCAAAATAGGACCATATCACTCCTATTGGAAACAAACCTATTTCTTCATTCCATTCTTGCCCCTCCTTTAAATATGGTTAAAAGGTAGTCAAAAGTCATAATTTAATGTTTAATGCATAATAAATCCGAATTTAAAAAAAAAATCGTAGAAAAATAATAAAAAATAATAAAATATTTATAAAATAACAAATTAATTTTTTTTATTTTTTAAAAAAATTAATAAAAAATAGTAAACTCCATAAAAAAATATATGAATGCCTTTTCCGCAGCCTGTACTACCTCCCTGCACCACCACCTCCGATTGGTGTAAAAAATGCCATATTTTCTGAAAATTGCAAATAATTGCTATTACTCTTTGAGAATGCCAAAATTTCCATTGAATCTGTCATAAATATGGCATTTTCTAATGCAAGTGGCATTTTTTTTAATTTTTTAATTTTTTAAAATTAGATGCCTTTCCTACTGCTTTTACTGCCTCTCTGCACCACCACCTCCGACTGGTGTAAAAAATGCCAATTTTTCTAAAAAACTGACATTTTCATAATGCCAAAAAATGGCATATTACTATTTCAGAATGCGAAAATCTTCCTTCATTTTGCCATATAAATGGCATTCGTAATATATGTGGCATTTTTTTGCTAGTGACTGGAGGTGGTGGTGCTGGGGCGGTAGAGGCGGCGCTGATTTTCTTTTTTTGTGTGTTTTTTATTTTTATTTTTTTTTATTTTTTTTAGAAAAAAAACAAATTTTTATTATGGAAATATTTTTATTAACATTTTAGTATTTTTTACGAATTTTTATTATGTTTTATTATTTTTTTATGAATTAAAACATTTCAATAGCTACAAGGCTATATTTATCCAACCCACACATAATTGATCATATCAAAACATAGTTTACATTTTGGTCATATTTATGTAAAGTGAGAAGCTTTTAGTCCTATTTCGATAATTAACTCAATAAATAATTATTACTACTCATTCAATTAATTCATAGTCCATTACACACAAATGACACGTACCCCTACTACCTTTAATACTGAAGCCCTGCTTCATCATTTTCACGTCTCATTCAATTTAAGCTCTAATTTTCATTTTTAATCTTCAGGAGAGTAAAGCAATAAATAAATGCGTATAACACTCCGTAATTAATAATCCACTCAAGAGCGTATAATAACACGTAGTACTCAAAGGATCCGTTCTCTCCCTTGTTTGGATTCAAACCGACTCATAGCGCATTTGCGAAGAAATCAACACCAGCTTCCATTCATCGGCAATGTCATCTACTCCTGTGCCTCCAAGCTCCGCTTACCTCACAGCTCTCACCATGGAAATCGAGAAGAAGCTTCATCGAGTATGCGTCTATTTATTCATAGCCATCTTTACATGGACAAATCATAGTATGCGATGTGCTTCAAATTCATCGTTTTACACCTTCCGTTTTCCTTTCTTGTTAAGAAGGCGGTAAAGGTATCTGCACAAGCTGATGTGAGTGTGTGAGTTTTGTTGCAGGCAGTAACTACGCCGACTCAGAGGCTTGATTCGTTGCAAGAGTTATTTGCTGACGTAGCTTTGGAAGTTGATGATCGAGCAAGAGGTCACTTCAATCACTTGTTGGGTTTAGATTCGTGTACATTTTTCAATCGGTTTCACTTTTAATCTGTACTATGTAACTATGTTGCGTAAGATGTTGAGACTGTTAATCCCTAATTCCGTTGGACTTTAATGTGAAGAACATGCTCGTGGGCGACGTTTTAGATGACATTGGAAATGGACTTTTGATTTTTCTTCTTCTAGAAACTAGGATTTAGAGAAAAATGAACATTTTATACCCTGAATCAAGAAAGTTTACATAATGGTGTAACTGTGCAACTCTTTACCAGTGGCGTCCTATGCGTCTTCTCTATTTACTCCCTGCTGCTGTTACATATTGCAAAAATGGATAAACAAACCATGCAAAGTAGTTTCTTTCAGAAAAAATAGGCCTTTTTTATGTAGTTTGCATGATAAAAAGTTCATAGTAGTTTCTTTGAATTTACCCCTTTTTACTGTGACATTTATTGGTGAATTAAAAACCCATGTATGACTTTATTTATTACCTTTGCTTTTTCTCAACTCTGCCACCATACCAATTCCATTAAACTACACACACTGACTTCAATGGCACTATGGCATAACTTTGTGATGCTAATTGGTAATCTAGTTTTAGGTTTCATAATTCAGTCCTTTACGTCTGATCTGGGTTTGGTTTAATGGAATGTGCTCCGGTGCCCTAGGCTCATTGGCTTTACAAAATTATAAAGGATGATGATCTTGTGCTCCATTTTCTTTTAAAGCTCTTTTTTTTTACTATATGCTTCTTTAAGACATTAAATCACTAATACTTTTTAGTTTTTATTTACCACACATAGTAATTGACATCACTCTCAATTCATACAAATTTGGTCAGAAATAACAATTTCTGACGTAATTAAATCGAGGACTCTAATGCTGATTATTTATGTTTAAATTGAACCAATCCCTTAATAAGTTTAAATAATTTATGTTTGAATTGCACAGACATAATTTTCAGCAGTGAAAGTGCAATATCTGCAGCTGAGGAAAGGACCAAAGGCCCAATTTGCTACTTTAATGTGCTTGCTGACCATTTTGTTCGTGTTCACCACAGCGGAAAACCAATCCTTAATTTAATTGTTCAGCTATGGAGCCAGTCCTTTGCTTGTCACATATTTTCCCTCTTGTTTCACAAGTGGGTATGTGACATTAAATTTTACTCTAAACTTGGTGTGTTGGAATTTCATGTTCTATTACTATTATGAACCATATGTGTTTTTACAAACCTCACTATTGACATCCACTATTTGTTCATTTTTGTAGCTTTTTGAGGTTGAGCTAGACAATTCTGAATCTTTGATTCGGTACTCTTCTGCGCTTGTTCAAGGTGCAACCAATGTATTCTGGTACGGATTTTGTTTATCTTCATCTTTAAAATCTGCTTCTATAAATATTTGTCATACAAGTTTTCGTGCTTAACTACACTGCGTATCTTTTATCATATGCTTCATATCATTAGCTGGAAAGATGCAAAGTGTGTGAAGTATTTTGCTGTGATGCCTTTTACAGGATTGATGTTCAATCAAATACGAAATGCTTTCAGAGTCTCTTTATGGTGAGATACAGTCAAATATGTAAAGATGTTTTTTCATAAGAACTATATACGAGTAATATATTAACACTTTTTCATCCAATAAACGCACTGAATTGAAGTATCTGATTGAGGAAGTTTCGCTTGTTCCAGAACGGTTAAAGAAGATACCGATGCAGGTCTGACATTCATTCAATTTTTTCTGCCAAGCTTTAGTCTGATTTAGTAATTAGGCATGCCTAAGGTTCTTATTCCTATCACTACATCTTATCTTATTAACTTTCCCGTGCCCCAAAACAGGCTCAACGGGATTTGATCCTCCTCCTTTCACGCTTCATATTCTTTTACGGCTTAGGTGAGCAGATTTGAGAAGTACGCAACAGATGTTGAGCTTGGATTTATTTTTATATGTGCTGACATGCATTTAATTACTTTCAGTTGACAAGCTAGAAAACTTCCTTAGCCAATTTCCTGATTTTCCGAATGCTCTCTTCATTGGTGGTCCAGCTGATTTTTTTGTTACTGAATTAGCTGATCAGGTAAGAAAAATGATACTCCCTCTGTCCCAATAAAGGAGTTTGCTTTGAAAACATACGAGTGTCCCTATATAAAAAGGAGTTAACGTTTGACAATGTACTTTCAATATATTTAATTTATTGTATTAAACTGTTTCTTTTGTACTCTTCTTCTATTTTATCAGCTTCAGAAACTGAAAGTTGAGCCAGTACTACTGCATTACCTTTCCCAGATGAAAGTTCTTAGAGGTAAAGTGGATAGATCACTATGATAAAGTGCTTATTTGTTGCAATTATTGAAGAAGCTTCTTGTGGTGTACCGACAGGGCTAGAATTGAGAATGACAACAAGTACAAGGCTGAGGACTTGCTTGTATAGCTTCACAAGCCCAGGTGCTCCTATGTATCCAACAAGAGCGGTCCGCCATGCCGCGTGGGAGGCATTAGATTTTCTTTTCCCGGTTAGTGATCTTCTTTCCAGCGATTTTGTGGGTTTTGGATAGCTTATTTGTCCAGTTGGGGTGGCTTATTAAAAAACACTTTCCTAAATAAGTATGTGGTACCTTTCCAGAAAACACCAAGTCAGTGCTTTTCTCTTGAGGAAAGTGCTTTTAACCCTATGAAAATATAAAGAAATGGATTCTAGTTCAATAAATTATTTTTGTTTCAATAAAAGCAATGACATATGCTTTTGAAGTTTTCAAAAGATAACTTTTTTTGGTTTAAAAAATCATCACAAGCAGGCTATTTGTAGGAAATGTAGCTATATTACTAGTTTACTAGTGCCTCCATCCAAAAATGTTCTGTTTTTTGAAGTTACAACTTGTAGATTATGGCAAGTATACCTCTTGTACATCATCCATCATACTTACCAGTTTTAACTTTATTTGTTAAATAAAATTTAACATACTTAACTTGTTAGTAACACTGATTTTGGATAAATGTCATTAAATTCCATATAAATTAGTTATATTTTGTCGTTGCAAGTTGAAACACGACTATTTATGTTACAAAAATGAGTTTTGATTATACAGGGACTAAATTGAACACAATTGGAGTAGAAGGTTTATAAATTGAACAAAGTGATATAGTAGAGGTCAAGTACTTTATTGCCTTCCCTAATTTTTCTCCTTGGCATTTCCCAAACTCCAAACGGACCCTTAGAGTCTGGAGTTTATTCCTTGAATGGCAGTATTTAAATACTATGGCCTGTTTACAAATGCTATATGTATGGTTGAATTTGCTGAATTTTTGGAAAGAGAAAAGCAAATAGGAGATAAGCTTATTTCTAATAAGCAAATTAATTCATTAATGCTACCAAGTAGGTGCTAAGCTTCCCCTCTAAATTACTTAATGAGCTGTTTTTTTTGTACCAGGTCGGTCGGTATCCACGGCACCTGATAAGCATATTCTTTCGGTTGCTACACCCATGGTACTGGCCCTCCTCTTTTTGGAACTTCACAAAATCGTGTATTTTAGCAGTGTTATATTTGGTATCAAGATTTGTTTTCACTAGTTGGGATAAGCTGGGAAAATTTAAAGAATGATAAACAGGGGCAAACCGCTCAGCTATTGTAAATCTGTAAATGTGTATCCATAGTCAGAGTTTCAAGAAAGAGTTATAAATTCAACCTCCACATTCCACCCACAGCTCATCTAAACGTGATAAAATATAGCCAAGAGTAAATCCAACTTGATAATAAGAATGAACACTAGATCTTGCATGTTGGTTTCTTATTTCATATTTCGTTAAAAGAGCCTGAAACCAGGGTCACCATACTACCTTAAAATTGAATATTTGGCAACAAGTTTCATTTATCCATCGAACGTCTAAATGTGCATGAATGATGAACAAAATGTGCAAAGCTGCATGTTTGCATTGGAAGTTAGTGTCGTGATTCACTTGGAGTATGTCAATTGTATTCATGTATGACTTGTAGTGGACTCTATCGCTTTCTGTTGTATGGATTGTCACACCGAAATTGCAATGCTTTGGGCTTGAAACATGAACTAGTATGATGTGAAGAGTGGATGTTGGATAGTCTTGTTCAATTTTTATGCCTAAAATGTAGTATTTTTAATGTGTATTTGTTGTACATCACAATTGTTTGAGGATGAGAATCAACTTGTGAATAAGTTGAACATTGGCAACTCTGAAATGCTTATGAGTCCGGTTGAGGAAGGGGAAGGAAGGATTTTGATAAAAAATTGTGTTTGGTCGGAGGAAATAGGAGGGAAGGTTTAATGAAAATCTTTTCGCAATTTACTTTTATTTGATAGCTTACTTAAAAAAAGATACATTCTAACTATTGTGAATATTACTCCTTTTGGTCATGAGTCATAATTTTATTTTATTTGATTTTTTACTTTTTAAATTTTATAATTTTTCATTTTTCAGTTTGGATTTTTTAATTTTTTTTATTTTTATTTTTTAAATTTTTTTAATTTTAATTTTTAAGATTTTAAATTTATAATTTTTAAATTTTTTAATTTTTAAAATTTTTAATTTTTTAATCTTTAAATTTTTTAATTTTTTAATTTTTCAAAACTTTTTGTTTTTTACCTTTTTAATCAACACGTTTCCTCCGAAATACCCCGATTTGGGGGTTTAGAATGGGAGGAAGTGGAGGATTTTGAAAGCCTTCCACTTTCCTTCTCTTCTCCCCTATTTCCTTCAACCAAACACACACAAATCCTTCACTTTCCTCCCCTCCGAAAGTCCGAAACCCTCCAACCAAACAGGGCCTACCATACAATGCAATTGTAGACGCATACATACATAAAAGTCTAACACACACCATACATGCAATTGTAGATGCATATACTCAACGTGGTATGAGTTGCAATTTATAGACACTTGGTTCTATAGACTTGCAGTTATTCCTTGCTATTTGATTGGGGGTGATAGATGGACATTATCTATCGATTCTATCAAATAACGAGGTATGAACTGCAATTTAATGGAAAAGTTACAAATAATGCGAATTTTATTTCTAAAAATAACTAACCCTATTTAGCATAATTGTGACGACCCGAGCAGATCAGCGGAGTGCAAATCAAGGAACCCCAATTGTTTAAATGCAAAAAAAAATGGATCTGGATCCATTGACAGATCTCAGTCACAAAAATTGAGGCTTGAGATTGGCATCTCTTTCCCTCTGGATCCCAAATACAATCTTATTTTTTATCCCCGTTTTGATTTGAAAACTGGTCGGTTCTGGTTTTATCATGGAAACGTGTCTAACTTAATTTCATGCAATTGTCAGACGTCTACTTTGAATAACAAAGAAGTTACCCCACTGCTATGTGAAGATTAATATGCTGGTTGTGATTTAAACGCATTATATAACAACGTTCAATGTTTCATTCCAAACGAGTTAGGGGTTGAAAACAATGAATACAGAAAAGATAGAAAAATAGAATAAGGTCAATGCACATCCCGTAGAATCAAAATGGGGGAGGAGGGAGGGGAGGAATCTTGGCCCAAGTTTGGCATCTTCCAACAAGGGCTGAGTCTAAAGGCCTACTGTGGGCTGTTAAAGATGCGGTTTTGGGCCTCTTATGGGCTTGATCCAAATCGCTCAGCGGCTATCAACATCGAGTTTTTCACAACTGGGAGCACATACTTAAGATTGGTAGAGTAATACATTTTTGTACACAGGTAACATGAAAGTATATCAAGATCAGTCAAATGACCTGCCTCTCAAATCAATGGGGTGTTTCTATCAACCCCTCATGAGATCACGCTAGGTTTTCTAGGAATGAGCAAACCTTTTATGAGATTCTAGTTTTAGAAAGTTAGAAAACTCGTGATAAACACACAATTATGAGCATTTTTTTGTGTGATTTAGGATGTAGATTGGAATGAAAATACAAGAGTATTGGATTAGAAAAGCCGTAATTGCAAAGCAAACTTATTGCATTTGTAGCAGATAAAGGCACATCATAACTAAGAGAGCCATGTTGTAATTGAAGTCAAAGCTCAACCCTCATGTGTGTATGCTCTCCTCGTCCCAAACTTAGATGCAAATTGCAAGGAGAGATTTATAAGGTCAAATGAAATGATGATAACGTTCACTCATTTTCAAGTGTGTTCTAGGGATACTAATTTGTATGTTTAGAAACTAGATTAAATGTTTTATTCAATGCAAAAACTAAATATGAAAAATGTTAACAAATTTACACTCAAAATTAGAATACAAAATACCATTTGGCTTACCAAAAAAGTAAAGTGAATGTTATTTCACTCGAAGGGTGTACACATTCCATTCCGTACGAGATGTTTTACAAAAATAAGGGTCATATTTTTGTTGGTAGTGGTCCACATTTCAAAAATACGAGTGTCTGAACGTTTACATAAATACGAGATGTTTTGCAAAAATAAGAGTCGTATTTTGTACACATACCACCGTTCTTGTTCAGTTGTGCAAATCTATTCTTTTTCATGGCGATGCACACTTTATATGCGTGTGTTATCAAATCTAACAAACGAGTCTCACTGACCCAAAATAATCTGTATGCGTGTGTTATATTAGCAGCTGGATGAATACATAGATATTTTAAAACAGAAACAAATCCCATAAAACTTGTTGAGTTGATTGGCACCAAGCCAATGAAATTCATTACACATTCATTCGTTCAACACACCGAACCTTGATATGATAACATCAAAAGTACATAACTGGGGTCTAAGATGACAAGACCATAAGATAAACGGAAAGTAAAGTCGACAACAACATATTAATAATAGTATCACAGCTTCGCAAGGCTGTCCCACACAAAACTATAAACATTCCCCTGGATGGAGTTATAATGCGCAAAGAGATGAGCAAATCGAACCTTGCACTAGTACAGAATTTCATTGATTTATTTGGCTCTTTCCTTGAAGATATCAAGGCCCACCTCCGTTGGATCTGTTGCCTGTAGCTCGACCTGAATGCCATCCAGCTCCTTCTTAAATCTCTCCTTGGAGCTGGCATACATCATCTTGTCCCTTACTTTGCTTGTCTCGGGTGTCCTTCACACAACAAACAAATAAAACACCGGTGGAATAGTTAGTCTAGCTTAAAAATCAATGAAATCTCTATATGAGGGAAAGAAAGGGTCCTGCTGCTTTTCAACTCAAATGCTAGTTACCATGCAATAAAGAATATCTTGCTCTTTTGGACATTCTCTGTTGAAATGAAGTCATAATCATAGACTGCATAACGGGATTGATCAGCAGGCAGATTCATAATGAATTCGTCATAGCTCTCAACCGGTTTACCAAGTTTATCCACAACTATGTGTTTATCTTCAATTTTATATACTATATACCGGTGAGCCCTCTTTCCCTTCAACTCCAAAAATTTCAGTTTGCAGTCATCATGGACAGCAATGCCTGATGCAGCATTTGCCTGGTGCATAATAATAAAAAGCATTCATGTCTTTGTGCATGGTGCACGAGGGTATGATATAGATTTCATATAAATACAGAAGCATCTACTGAGCTAGAACAAGTATCTAGAATATAAACCTAAAAAAAGATGGTCCAAGATGCTGAAAACACGTCATCATACCCATCATGAAGATGGGACCACCAATTTTCTCAATTACCAAATTGTCTATTGTATGAACAATACTTTTGAAGACCTTAAACCTCAAGTAATAGAAAAGTAAGAATGTAATGTTAGTGCTTTATGTCAGCATTTTTACTTGAAAAATATTGAGTTCTGAAAGGGTTGTATAGGTGCTTTCAGAAGAGATAATAACTAATGTCAAATAACCAAAACAGCTGTCTAAGCAAGTAATACAGAAAAATACTTCAAATGCCATGGATCAAACATATGCATTTGTTTGGGGGATGATGTGTTTGATCCAAGTAATACAGAGAAATACATTACCCCTATTATTTTCTTCTTAAAAAGTAACAAAACCCATAAAATACCTGGAAGGACACTTAAAAAAGAACGGAGGTAGTACTAATTAATAAGAAAATATTATTAAAATTGTAACATAAATTAGACATGTTTTATTTTATAATGATAAAAATAGATACAAAAAGTGATATTACAAAAAAACAATACATAATAAAACCATAAAATCTATGCACAAATGTAATAATAATTAAATACAAATAAATCCAAATAAAAAATTAAGAAAATAGAAAACTTGCACATTCAAAACTAAGAAAGTGCAAAAACAATCTAAACTAACAACTAAAAGCTATACATCCTAATAAATCAAATCATTTTAAAATGAGTTAATATACAATTTTGGAAAACAAAGAAGATACAAAATCATAAATTTTTAAATGAGTTTAAAATAATATTTGAACATGATAATATTTTTAATTTTTAAACACAATGTACATAGAAGATAGTTATATTTACATCATATAAAAATTCAATTCATATGTTTTTCTACGTTTTGCAAAATATAGAGTTGATGGTAGGGATTACTAAAAGAAGAGCAAACATAGTTCAGATTACTTGCAAAATACACTTCTTTTCTAATTAGGAATGGCCTGCAATAGCACGTTATAAAGTGTCAAAGATCATTATTGACAGGCCGACCATATAGTTGAGATTCAATAGTTGGGGTTACTATGCACTGCCGTGCAATAGTCAACTTTAGTAATTGGGAATATTGTTTTCAATGTGAAGGAAGAGTTAACTTCAAGACAAAACAACACAAATATGGGATAAAGAGGGTAATTGATAAAATAACACAAAATTATTCATTAGGATAGCAATAAAAACAAGCTAGAATATAATAAAGCAGACAAATTGCCTAGATAGTTCATAGATCATATAATTCATACTCCGTAGTTAATAAGAGAATAAGTTCACTAAAGAGATTCTGTACACCAATCTACAGAACAGGTCATCATTCAAACAATTTAAAGGTTATATATACGGAGTAATAAGGAATTTTGTGTGTCAGGAGTCGGGACTACAAAATCCAAGATAACTGAATCAAATTATGGATCATTAACCGCCTTTTCCAGATGAACGGATATGGTCCCTATTTCTTACTCCGGATTATGAAGAAAAATCACACTTTAACACTTGTAGACGTAACCTAACCATCCGCTAAAATGAACGGCAAATCTAGACATTGCAGAAGACCAGACGGATCCAAACAATCAAATATCAAGTTATCAGTAAAGATCACAGAGCCATCAAAATCTGTAAACTGAATTTTCAGAACGAAAGCAGCAAAACGTCAGATCAAGCAACAACGAAATATTGACAAAATACTAATTCATGTATTCATGTAAATAAACAAAATATTATCTTGGTAGATATTTGTGGTAAATGTTTAGAGAATTAAGCTCAACAAACCATGGCGTTGCGCGGTAATCGGTGAAAGATCTGCGAGATTTGAGCGGAGATATAGAACTTAGGGCAAAGAAGAGATATTCTTCTACGCGTATATATAGAAGATAGCGTTTGAACCGGAAAAGACTTGTGCTTTACACAGATAAGCAAAGGGTAGAGAAAGAAAAAGAGAAATGAAGGATCGAATTTCCGATTCAGCCCCGGACAATTTGGTCCACACCACCTAAGAATATAAGCAAGCTGGTCGAACCAATCCATCTTTGCCACATGACGAATCCCAAATTGACTAATCTAACCCTTATAACTTGTCAATTCTACAGTAGGATCGTTAGGCTAACCGCAACTGAGTCTATCAATAAATCTAATCTAACATCAGTGTATACGTATTCAGTCAGTCAATTCAATTTTTCCATTCAACCCACCATCATCAATATATTCACTCAACACATTCTTTTTTAGTTTTTTTTATCATCAAAACGACTTTCCATTAAAATAGAGCAAACACGCAACACCAAATTCAGACATATATTACAGATCTGATCGTAAACCATAGGAATAGACTTAGAGTCAGTCACTCATACAAAGTAACATGACTCGCTAGACACAAAACGGGCAAGAATAAGCCTAAAACGACCGAAAATGAAACATTGTCTATCAAGAGTTCATCAAAAATCAAAATACTCCAACCACACTCGATCGAACTGAAATAAAAATAAGTACTACAAAGTGAAAAACAATACGAAAATAAAAAAATTTCCCAAATTACTTCCTCGCATGATATAAGAGAAATTCAACCTCAAGAAAATTCATCTGAGAACTTATCTTGCCAATCATCGGAACGGTCACCTTCCCATTGCTGGCCAGTTCTTCTCCCGCACCAATTGTCATCTTTTTGTATTGATGACCAATACTCCATAAATCTCTACTCCTCAATCTGATCTACACACCAAATCTGAGCAAGCCACACTCCACGCCTACAAACTGCCGTTGTGTAGTAATGTCCAATGATACCAGAAAGAAATACTTCGGTGCTGTAATCGCCGGGCAATTACCACCGGACAATCTGAGCTAAGCATTGCCAAAGCGGAAACCCTAGAGAGAGAGAGAGTTACGTTCCAATCAAATTTCATCAAAAAAAATACCTGTTTTTTTAGTTAAATCCTTACTTTTATTATTATACATAAAAAAAAATTCGCAAATTCTATTATTGCAAATAATTATGATTTAAAATATCAAACATTCCGATGTAAAAATAAATAAATTTGGAGTGAAATTTTTAACCATGAGATCTATTTTTTTAAAATAATAATTGAGAGATGTAAACAAATATTTTAACAATGAAATCTTAAGTTTAACATTTGAGTTGATTTGAGAAAAATGTTAGATCTACAAATCTTCAACAGATGAAACTTCTCATTTTTTAACTTTTACATATCTAGATCATAAAAAGATATGAATTTTGATATATTTTTATACAAATCAAATTAAAGAGAAAAAAGTTATGATAATTTAAAATAAATTGAGTATTTTGTTTTAAATGGGGTCTAATGCAAAATCATCTCTCTCTTGGAGTGAACAAGGGTCTTACCCCCCTCCCTTAGGTTTCCCCAACCCACTCTAGACCCTCTAATACAAAAAATGGCTTGGGTTGCACCATATTTTGGGTGAAAACCATACATTTAAGAATTCACCCCGCACCATATTGCTCTTAGAGTATCAATAGACTTTTGAATCAAAAACCCAAAAAACTGTTGGAGCCGAATCGTTAAAATCCGGTTCGGTTCCTTCACATGTATTATAAGGATGTTTTTACTTGGACTGTAATTTACTGTTCTGGTCTGCTCTGGTCTGATCTGGTCTAAACTGGTATGGTTTGGTAAGCGTCTGGTCTCTGTGTATTTTATAACCACGGAAATCAAATCTGGTCTGGTCTGTTTAAGTCTGGGTTGGTCTGTTTAAGTTCGGTCTGATCTGAGACTGAAAACAGTTTAAGTAAAAACATCCTAAATTGTTAATGGTTCGGTTCTTATTCTTTGTTAACGGTTCAGTTCCTGATTCTTACAAAATATGTCTATGGAACTATTAAGGAACCATTATTAAAAAAAATTGAAAGTATAACTAGTAATAACAACAACAATAATAATAATAATATTAACATTAACAATAACACTAGTTATAGTAACAATAATATAATTAATGACATCTAATCTCACAACAATTTAATCGATGGAAGCGGATGAGGATGAATACATCAACCTTATTTTTTTACAAATCATATTTTGTTCCATCACGGAAATTTCATAATTATAAAAGTGAACTATATTATTTGATGTTTGTTCGATATACTTTTTCTTTATAATACGTATTACAGATGATTATAATTGTGAGATTTAGTGTAAATAATGCTCGTAGGATTTGAAATGTAATGATGTTTATATTTGTACTTGTGTATTCAATATGCTTTTTTACGTTTTGAGGAACTTGAACTAAACGTCTTATTCTACTATGATAACTCAATTTTTATTAAATCAAACAACAACGATTTTCATATTTTATTTACAAACAAAATTCAAAAATTATTTCATTCCATTAAGTGTTTAATAAGTTAAGTTTGGACTTGATGAATGTTTGCATGTGATTCTTAAAACTACTTCTGCTACTACAAGGAGCGGAAGCAGAAGTTGGAGTGTTTGAGTGAAAGTTGAGAAGTACTTCTGGTGCTCTAGTTTACTCCTAGAAGCAGTTTTTTTTAAAACTGGAGGAGACTAGCTTCTGAAAACCGATTCTGATTTTGCTTCTACTTTAAAAAAGAAGCAGAATCAGTTCCAAACACCCCCGATGTTTGAAGTGATAAATAGCTTCACAAAGTACTTATTGCTTGTGTTTTGAATTTCCGACGTTTTTGTGTTGTAGAAAGTAAATTTTGTAAATGATTTTTATGGAAAAAAATTATACTTGGGAACCGATAAAAGTAAGAACCGAACCGTTTACCATTGATTCGGTTACATAACGGTTCTTGAATTTTTAGATAGGAACCGAATCGATTTGATTAGTTAAATTTTTTGTAATGATTCCACTAATTTCATATAAGAACTGAACCGGTCCCAACCCTATCTGTGACTTTACTAGCCAAACAAACATCTACAACAAAAGTAAAATGTACTCCAATAATTGGATATAATTCTCCCTTTTCACTTATTATTATTAATGTTATACTTCATATTTAGTAATTCTCCTTCATCAAGTTTGTTGAGGTTAAGTCCCGAACGACCCAAAGGCCCAACACCAACCTTGGATCTAGGGTAAAATTGCTACGATAAAAGTGTATAAAAGAAATATAAAACTGATGGATTGTACTCGAATAGCCTTGCTTGTATTAACTCAGTAATTATGATTACAAGGGGAATGGCCGAACGGTAGTTACGGTCCAATAGCTAATACAAGAGCTAGAATGTAATAAGAGCTAGTGAGTAAACAAATGCTAACGTGTTACAATGTAAATAATGTCCCTATTTATACTAGAAGGGGGTAGGTGAGGGGTATGGGCTGCTCTAAAATGTTGGGTTGCTTTCCATGCCACTTGTGCACCCATGCTCCCACTTGCGGTCCCCATATCTCAGCATTAAATGCAGCCTGCCACTTGACCGAAACATCGTTCGAGACTGAGTTCCGCTAAGCCACTGACTCGGGAATAAACTGATTACCCAAGTGCTGATTACACCCCGTTCGGGAGGTGCCGAACGGCTTTCCTTTAGTCACTCAACCTCTGTTCGGGTCCAATGACTTCTTCTGGACCCGATTTGTTCCTGTTCGGGGCCGATGACTTCTTGTGGACTATCCTTCGTGTTTTGGGCCCTAGGGATGTGGTGAACTCCCGTTCGGGGCCTATGACTTCCTTTGGGCTTTTCCTTGCGTCTGGGCCCTAGGGATATTCTGGGTCGGCATGTTGGGTTGGACCTTAATATCCCATCACAAGTCCCTCCAGTTCCGATGTTCCGAGCGTGCTCAGGACATGAGGAAGTAGAAAAGCAAGCTTCCCGCCGTTCAATGTAATACCGTAAGGTGCTCTTTGCTGGTGTTTGCCTGCTCCTGACATGACAGTTCGAAGTTCTTGGGCGGCTGTTGCTTGTATTCCCTATGTAACTGTCATGATTACCTGACGTTTTGCCTCTGTGCGACATGTGTCCCTTGGAGCGTCTATTGCTACGTGTCACCTTGTGACTGGTTGGTGTATCGGCGCCTTTAGTCCATAAGTAAGGATTTTGGGCTCTGGTTCCGGGTTTTCGGATTTTCATCCCTTCGCTCAAGTACTTTGCCTTCTTTCCAAATCCCTAATTTCGCATTTCGCTTAGGTAACCACCAGTCATCTGTCTTCTTCTTCCTTCTCTTCTTCCTTGGTTCGGTGCAAATGTCTTCAAGCTCTATCCCTTCTGACCCTTCGGTCATCGAACCGGCCCAGGGTTCTGAGATGAACACAAATGTTGATGATACGACGGGCACTAGTGCTGTCATAGGGGTGCAGTTAGAGATCCCCCTTCCGCAAGTGGTTCTGAGGATGCTGAATCCGGAAGTTCTTCATATGATGCGTCTAGCAGTGATTCCGATGACGTCGAGTCTGGGGATGATATGGCGGTGATGAAGGCAGGCCCTCCTGACGACGCCCCTCGTCACCATTTGGACTTGAGGCCCATTCGAAAGCGGAGGCAAAGACTGTAACACCCCGGCCCCGCAGGCCCCGAGGTAGTTACTTCTGACCTCTAGTACTGTCCTCACAAACCGCCACTAGCCTTTTCCGCGCACTTTGTCCTCACTCATGCGCGCCCTGAGAAACTTCCCAAGGGGTCACCCATCCCAAGACTACTCCTGTGCAAGCACACTTAACTTTGGAGTTCTTGGTGATGAGCTCCCTTAAAAAGAGATGCATCTTTGTTTGTATGAGTAGTACTATTAATCCATTTAAATTAAATCTCAAATGTTACAATCACCCCCACTTATGAACGCAATGTCCTCGTTGCGCCCGTAAATCAATCTCAATCAAACCCTAGAATCTTGCCCCGCTAAGTGCCCGCCCAATATCCAATGGGTCAACACACTGTCGCAGGGTTGCTCTGATACCACCTGTAACACCCCGGCCCCACAAGCCCCGAGGTAGTTACTTCTGACCTCTAGTACTGTCCTCATAAACCGAAACTTCTTAGGGGGTCACCCATCCCAAGACTACTCATGTGCAAGCACACTTAACTTTGGAGTTCTTGG